ACACACCACCTTTAACTCAAGGTTCTCTGGTGGTCCCGGCCATGAGGGGTTATTGATACTTCTTCTAGGGTGAATGTGGAAGATGTTGATGTTTTTATATTACGGCGCCCAACAATACGGTTCTTTTGGTCAACAGCTGTGTGGTATGATAGACTAAAACTGAACTTTGTGAGGAAAACGCGTAGGTAGTTGTGGCTGCGTTATATAAATTTAATGCTGTGATGTGAGTGAGATAGTATGCAGCAGTTGGAACAGTAGCTTAGTGGTTTATGCCAACATAACGTTAAAAATACCACACAGGTATTCTAGTTGTCCCGTAATAGCTAGGAGACTCAGCTGGGCGACCAACCAGCGCGCGTCTTAGTAACCCCCACGCAAGATGAAGAAAATACCGCTCCACTACCAGCTAACAGTGGGGTCTGACCAACGAACACTGGTGTAATTTTTTCTTGGTGTGTCAACTAAAATTTATTATTATTATTAATATCATCATCATCATCATCATCATCATCATCATCATCAAAAAGAGAATTCACTCGATCATAATTACTAATAAAAAAACTGTTTACCCCATAAATTACCTGCAATGAAAATTCTTCCAAAATTATTGTGCATGAGCTTTTTTTAACGTAAGTGTAAAAAAATAGTTCTCATAATTTATTAACGTTTAAAGACCTTCGTTGTTGAAGCTCAGTAATACCATTATAGCGACAAGTATAAGAGAACCATTTTGTTATAATGTAGAATCTTAGTGGTATTTCGACGCCATATTAGCCGTTATGTATGTGTGGTGGCTGATGTTGTACGTCTCTGGTCCGGAGGGTGATTAACATATGACTTTTGAGAACATGTGTCACACCGATGTTCTTTACTGAACCCTCCCTCCCACCCTGGCTCCACCTACGCAGATGCGTATGCGCACTTCGGCCTTGAGGTGAGATGTACGTAAGACTCAGATTCTCTTTCAACCTGCCCCTGGTTCAGACACACCACCACCCATCCAGCTTAACGGTACTACCCTCTCTAATGTTACCCAATTTCGGTATCTCGGCTCCCACCTGCCCATTACCGCACACATCGATGAAGAGATTCAGCATCGGATCAGATGTGCATTTCAAGCCTTTGGCGGACTACGAAATTGTGTCTTACGCTGTAGGGAACTGAAATTATCTATAAAGCTGCATGTATATCGAGCAGTGGTCCTCCCCACCCTGCTATTTGGCAGTGAGACATGGGTCACATACAGGAGGCACCACAAAGCATTTGAAAACTTTCACCAACGTAGTCTACATTCCATCCTCCGAGTTGACTAGGAAGACAAGAGAATAAATACCAGTATTATTGTTGACACCAACTGTAGGAGCATCGAGGCTAACTTTATCCATGAACAACTACGCTGGACTGGCCATGTTACCCGCATGGACGACAGTAGACTGCCAAAGCAGCTACTTTACAGTCACTCAACGAATAGTAAACGTAACGCCGGAGGACAACTGAAAAGGTATAAGGATATTCTTAAGACTGAAGCTCTCAACTGGCTCAGCCATGTTAATATTGGAAATTATTATTGACTCTGTATCTGTGTTTTTCTACCTAAATAAACTGTTTCAATCAATCAATCAATCAAAGACAAACCTGAAAAAGTGCCAAATCGACCCCCTCACCTGGGAGACGATTACTCCATCCCGTAACGCCTTTCCCGCACTAGATGTCTGCCGGTCCCGTGTCTTCCTCTTGAGTCACCTTAGAGTTCACCAACGAAGGTGACATCCTTTTTAACTCATACCATTGTGTCGAAGCTGGATGAACGTCATACTTGATTCCGAGGGACAGCAAAGTATAGCAGTAGTAGTAGTAGTAGTAGTAATAGTTGTCTCCACCAGTGAGCGTTTTGTTCACATATTCTGGTTGTTCAGTGATGGCTGGCTGGTCCTCTTCAAGTGAACACGGCTGAAATATATTGTTTTAGGGCGAAATTTTCTTTGAGGAATTTGAATTATTAGTAAACAAAAACAAATACCATAAAATGTTAATTGAATTCCATGTGTAGAACGAGTATGAAGTACATAATAAAACTAATAAGTGTAAATTTAAAATCAATAATGTACAACAGGTAAAAATTCAGGGCAAAACACCTGTATAGCTACATCACCCCAACTCTCCTTATAACACGTGTACCAGGTAACACAGGTGCGTCAGGCAGGGGTCACACATGCTGTCAACCCCTATTTATATACTCGTTCATCACTACAACCAGGCAGTCACCAGGCAGTAAGTGACGTCACCCATGACCCTGCTGCCAAACGTGTGGGTGTGGCAGGTAGATCATCGAGAAGTGTGGCGTGGGGTAGAGGCTGGTGAAGGGGGGTAAGAGGGAAGGAGGAGAGGGTATATTTATATATGTATACAAAATCGTGAGTAAATCTACTAGTTTTGTGACCGTCGCTCGTGGTGGTGGTGGACGACGCTCCCAGCAGAATGGTGACCGCGGTGCTGTGTGAGAGTGTGGGTGATACTTATTGTTTATAGACTCTTATAATGTGGTGGTGTTGGTGTTTAAACAAGTGAACATCTGTTTTTCGAGGGTTAGCCCACCCAGGACCCACATCGAGGTCTGGAGGGGGCTTTTTTTTACCATAAATAACAAAAACAGATCAATAGTGAGAAACAATATATGTCTGTTGTGTTGTAATAGTAAGAGAAACAATTAAGACCCTGCAATTGTGTGTAAATGAGGCAGAAAGTCAGATTAGCAACCTGGGACTTGGTCACAATTTTCGTGATGCCATATGGCAGTAGTGTCTACCATTAGACAACACATTATGCTTCCAATATTTTCCCAGGCGGTAATACCTCCTTCGTGGTGTTTAAACAAGTGAAGATCATACGCAAACAAACTTTTATTATAATGCAAAAATAATTAAATTAAAGTGCACTAAGAAACAAAGTAAGAAATAACAAAGGAAAATAATAAAGAATATTAAGTGTACAGTATAGTGGAGTTGGTCCAGCGGTCACCCCCCCCCCCCACTCCCGCCTAAAATGTGGAACCGTTCCTCATCAAAAACACTTCTCTTTTTTCTTTATCTGCTATAAACGGTAATAATTTTCAAGAAAGAGCTGGAATTTGGTATACTTCTGTAAATACCCGAAAACGATCACAAACCAGTGTTTGAGTTAGAATGAAATATTTTACATAGTAGAGCTGTAGACCTACAAAACATTATAAATTATCATTATTTCATTTGGAACAACTTGCTGATGAAACATTTCGATTATAATAACTTATAAAGTTCAAACTCTTAAACTATTTTGTTTCATGACTCACGTAGACACAATGAGACCTCTTGGTGGAGCACGTTACTCAGGCGGTGAGGACACGAGGGTATACACAGCTTTACTACTGTACTTTTCACTCCTCTTTCCAGTATCTCTTTCCCAGGACAAAAATTTTGCACACATTCGAGAAAAAATTATATTAATCTGAATTTCATGGGAAGCGTTGTAATATGACATCAAGACTGCCAATAATAATCACCGATGAAAATAACTTAGGTCAAATATATAGAGCTTGCTGCTGCAGATAGAGTGTAAGCCGCGCTCTGAGTGATACAGTATTTAACATCATCACCTCCAGTACCAAGTATTATACGTGGTTCCTGACGTGATAGGCTTGTTGTTCTATGCATTAAATTGGTACAGCTGCCAAGTTCTTCAAGCAACGTTCACAGGAGTCACGTTTTGGCAGTAGACAACAAACAGTTGAAAGAATAGATTATTTTTCTCTGCTGAGTCAAGGGTTTTTCATTCCTTTCGTAACAAGTGACAGTTTATTTAATTATAAGTGTAAATCTTTCATCAGGTTTGTGGAGTGAAATATACCAAGGTTATTGAGAGAAATATTATATAATGTGAAGAATTATGGACATTTTCAGTGACGCTGGGACAACATTAATGTTAAGGTCAGGTTTACAGTATTGTGTCGTTGAAAAGTTTGTGAGGGTGAATTGAATTGAAACAGTTTATTTAGCGAGAAAAACACAGATACAAAGTGGATAATAATAACAATATTAACTTGGCTGAGCCAGTTGAGAACCTGAGCTCTCTTTTAGGCACCTGATATATACTATACATTTATCTCAAGGAAATATTTTGTAACATTTAGTATCATCTGGAATAGTGCAATAGCATGGGGTTAATAAGAACATCACATAATGTTACCACGGTTATCACTTCAATATTTATTCATTTTATTTATATATTATTTTTTTTTATTTACTGTACCTTATAATAATCTCGGAGGTAAACTTCACCACGATTTAATCTCCTACCTATAGCCTTGCTTTGTTCATTAATATTCTTTAAATAATTATTTATCCATTTAGGGTTATTGTTGTTTGATCTGAGTTTTCTGTATGGTATGTTCTGCCGCTGTGCATTAAGTAACTCATTCCGCAATTAAATTGTTTTGGTACTCATCAACCTCATATCTCATGGTCAGGTCACGTCTGGTAACGCACACACACACACACACATACTGTATTTAAACGGTGTTAACAGTACAGGTGACCAATAAGCGCGGCACAGCGTCATGCCCACTGACCATAACAGCTGGTGGTGACTCAGGGTGTTAGTGGCAGCTTCTGTAAAAACTTGATTCCGTACAAATATTTTTCATCATTATATTTGTCAATTTCTATACTGACAAATCTTTCTTATGTGTGTGTATGTGTGTCAATAATTGTCTTGTCATAAACTGCAACGTGGAGTGAAGTTTTATCGGTGTAAAGAAACCTTCGTAAGTATCTAGAATGACTCCACTTATTTGATCATTTGTTTTTGTAGTGACCTATTGTATATAAATTGTCTACAAATTCTGGAGAAAATTGGTAATTAAATCCGCTGTAATATTCTAGACATTTACCGAAATTTTATGTATATTTTTTGCCTTCATTATTATCAAACACACCGTCACTAATGTTGTTCTTGGAATCTTACAGCTAAGCACACCGTCCTTCGGCTCCAGTCGGTATGGGTCAAGTAGCAGCACCAGTGCCTCCGCCGTGCCCACAGTGTCGTACCGCGCGGCGCTCACCAGAGATCTGTCAGCCTCCCAGGACCGTCTGGCAGCGGGATATGGCTCAGATGTCAACAAAAGCGGCTATGGTTCTGGGTCAGGTGAGGCACTGATAGATAGACAGATTGGTTCTTGTTTATATTGTCTATTAATAATATACTGCATTTCATCATTGATTGCTTGTGTACTAATGTTTGCTTTCAGTTAAGAAATAACAATATTTTTTAGTTAATTTTAATACAGATCTTGAGAAAATTAAGCACATTTCACTTCATAATAATAATATTTACTCATCTTTTTATTTACTTTGTGTCAGATGATGTGAGCTTGTTATGTTTACATTAAATGATGAACTATTAATTATTTTCCATTATTCTTGTTTCTGGATGAAAGAAATATTATCTAAATTAACATTAACAAACAATACATATTATTTCCTCGTAGCCTCTTACATACTGTCCTTAAGCACTTCTTAAAGTGTTTAACTGTTTAATTAACATTCCTCTTATGCCTTAAAATGTATAACGTAAGAGTAAAATATAATTTAAATGCATTTAAATATTTACAGTATGGCAAAGTATAAATTAAATTGTATATAAGTATTTTTTATATGTTGATAATGAGATCAAGGTAAAACTCTGCGTTGAAATAAGATACTTAAGTAAAATAAGACAAATAAGATTTTATTACATTTATTCAGCCTCGTATGGTATTTTACTCGCCTTACTGACCTGACTGATAAAGGTTCTGTTGGGGTGTATGTTTTCCAGTGCAGCTCATCACAGCCAGTGACTTTATTAACTCCCTATTTTTCATATTAGTTGTATTTGATTTACGATAAAACGGTTTAAAGTTAAGAAAATCATAGAGACGTGTGTGTGTGTGTGTGTGTGTGTGTGTGTGTGTGTGTGTGTGTGTGTGTGTGGGTGGCCGAGAGGATCGCGTGTCGTAACGGGTGAGAAAATATAGTGGATTTTCTTGAATGACTGGCGGCTTCGTTACTCTGGAGTCTCCATGTTGACACGATAAGATTAAACACACGGTAACATAATACTGTTTACGTAGGATAAAGATATAAGTGAAGGATTTAACAAACTGTGATATATCTTGATGTGTATCTCTCTCTCTCTCTCTCTCTCTCTCTCTCTCTCTCTCTAGAAAAAAAATAGTTCCATCGCGTCCACAGGAATGATAAAGCCATCGTCTGTGTCCGTCTGTTTATTTTCTGTCTGCTGTATAGGAGGGAGGATCCACCAGGGTTATGACATTCACATTAGGTATGAATGTCTGACGGAGGCGAATGTCACTTGAAGTCGTTATTACTCCATATGGTTAGCTGGGTGCTGTAGTGCGTGTAATGTGTGTTTTTTAACAGATGTTTTGTTAAGGTGTAGAGATGGTCCCGTACACCTGCTGGTGGAGCTAGAAACCTTTGCATTTTAATTAAGATAAACACAAGTAAAATTTTAAGAGGAACGTGAACTAACAACATAACTGGTGACTCAGCTAAAATATATTAAACACTGTCGAATGTAAACTTTCCGGTGATGTTTATAACTTTAAATTAAGCTGTAATAAAAGAGATCCGACACAAAAAAGGAGACTGATGCTGTAACTTTTTATTTACCAAATCAAGAAAATCAGCTGTGATCGCCTTAAAAGTAGTTCCCTTCTGAGTTGACACCCAGCTGCATACGATGGTGCCACATTTGAAAGCAATTTCACAGGCTGTTGAGGAGCTCCGTCGTTTTTGCTTTCACCTCTTCTACCGACAAAAAATTGGTTCCTTTGAGCATGGACTTGATCTTTGGGAAGAGGTAGAAGTCGCAGGGAGCCAGGTCTGACGAATAGGGTGGGTGCTCAAGCACAGTGATGTTTTAATTGGCTAAAAACTGCTTCACAGACAAAGCGTTGTGGTCTGGCGCGTTGTTCAGCTGACAGCATTTTTGCACAAACCTTTGTCATGTTCAATTCTTCCGTTAGAATGCGTCGAGCACTTTCCCTGTCTAAATTAACTGCTGTGCGTGGACGGCCTGGGCGGTCATCATCTTTCACGGTTTCTCTGCCTTCCGAAAATCGTTTGTGCCATTCAAAAACGCGTGCAAGAGACATGCAATCTTCACTGTAAGCCTCAGTCAATAACTGAAAAGTTTCCGTCGCGGATTTCTTAAGTTTAACGAGAAACTTGATGCTAACTCGTTGCTCAGTTTTGCAGTCCTACATTTTCTGACCGAGCGAAGAACACGTCTATACTTCAACACGCGTCCACTTATACTGAGTGAAGTGATCGAGTTGAGCCTTGTCACACTGTGACAGGCTAGAACATGTTCAATAACTGTCTGTTTGTCCCTCCCCTCCCACTCTTGGTTCCCGATTTATAGGGTCAGTCTCGTTATTTTTGTGTCGGACCTCGTAAATCATCAGCTGATAAACATAAGATAAAACATCAGCTGACATAAATACCTATAAAAGCTTAATAACTAAGGAATAATTGAAGCGGCGAAGTTAAAACCGTGGGGAACATATACCAGGGTGTGGGTGGGAAGGCCAGTCACCCATGCTCTTGTCTAAGGATGCCCACTGTCCCGCCCACTCTCTCACCCACTCTCTGGAGGACTTGTTCCCGCCCTCCTACTCCCCGACGGCAGATACGGACGCCCATAAAGAACCCACACACCTCCTCCTCCTCCCGCCTAGTCTCAGAAAGCACCCACCGACTATCTCCCTCATGTAAACACCCCCCCACGTCAGTATACAATCATATCCCTCCACTCCCACCTACTGTATTCTCTCACTCCCGCGTAAGTCTCTCTACCTGCCGGGGATTATCCGTCCTTGTGTTCAGGTACAAATAAATGGACTTTGTAATTGAAGTTTGTAAACACCCGTGGGCGTTAATGGGTTATATAATATAAGGCTTCTGTATAGGAGGACATAATATACTAATTAACCTAGTATATAAATTATCTTTTTATGTATATAGGCTCTGTGTAGTGAAACCCTCCATATAACGGACTTCTCTTTCCGTATAATCCGTTAACGTGGAGGTTTCACATTAAACGGTTCCTGTTGTGTTTTAAAGTGACAGTCAAGGTAGCATTCGGGAGATGAGGGATAGTTTGAGGTGTGTTAGGAGAGTCAGGCTAGGCCCTCCTTGTTGGATAGTAAGGATAGCTTAGTAGACAGACAGATAAGAGACCCAGACAGAGAGATAAGGATATAGACAGACACATATAAGATGGACAAACAGACAGAGAGACGTAAGATGATAGACAGATAAGAAAATAGAGACAGACAAACAGATAAGAAGATGGACAGAGATACAGACAGACATAAGACAGATAAGATAGAGGTACAGACAGTCACCAGACAGACAAATAAGAAGGTAGACAGGTACAGACAGTTAAGATAGACAAAGACAACAGACAGACATAAGATAGACAGATAGATAAGATAAGCAGAGACTCCGACAGACAGACATAAGATAAACAGAGCCAGACGGACAGATAAGATAGACAGAGACTCCGACAGATAGTGTTAACTGTGTCTCACTAGTGATACATGTTGCAGGAGGCGGCAACTACGGATCGCGGTACACGGGTGACAGCAAGACGTCGGCCGTGGCGTCTCTCTCCTCCAAGTTCGGTGATACGAAGCCTTCATCCCCCAGCCCTCGGGTCAGGCCCACCTCCCTCGCCACCACCACCAACAACAACGCTGCCATCAACGCCACCACCGCCCCCGCCACCGCCTCCTCCACCGCCTCCCTCAGTAACACCCTCTCTCCCTCTACCACTCTTTCCGGCAGTAGACTCTCCAGGGACTCCTCCCGCACTGAGAGCGGCGGCAGATCCCCCGGGGGAGCGGCCTACACCTCGCGTCTCACCAGTGGTACAAACTTCGATCGATCAGGCTATACCTCGGATGCGAAGTCGGGCTATGGATCTGATCTCAACAGATCCGGGTACGGGTCCGGATATGGTTCTGGGTCTGGCAACTATACGAGTCGATATAGTTATAGCCGTAGCAACAGCTATATGAAGGACACCGAGCCCACTAGTAAAGGCAGCTACAAGCCGACCTACAGCAGAGAGAACAGCTACCTGGGCAGCGACACAGGAAGCGGGTCTGGTTGGCGGAGTCGTGTGTACGGTAGTGATGCTGACGCCTCCACCACCAGGACCCGCGGCAGCCTCAACAACTCGTCTGAACAGATCCCCAAGTCCAGTGCCAAACAGGAGGCGGAGGCGGTCAAACCAGCCTTCAAAGACGCTATTGATAAACTGACCAAAGCTTCCCAAGACGAGAAGAAAGACGGCAAGAATATTGAAGTTTTGTCTCCGAATGCGATAAGAGTGTTACCTGTCTTCAGTCCAGATGACCTTAACTTGAAGAATAAGGCTCCGGCTGACTTCAGTTCCGCGGCTGAGAGCTCAGATGATGAAGACCAAAAGAAGACAGACAGTCGAGAGACAACGAAGACACAAGGCCCCGTAACTTCTACTTCGACAACTGCCGCCGCTTCCACCTCGAGCACGACAACATCAAGACCTCTCCGGCACCTCGCGGCCGTACCTTCCCTGCCCACAAAGCCGACGAATACAGTAAGTAGCGGTTTAGCCACACCTCCATCATTCAAACTCTCCTCAAGATACGCCACATCTACAACGGAGAGTCTCCCTGTCTCTACCACACCCTCAAAATGGCTGAGAGACAAGGAGGAAGATACAACCACCACACGCACTAGGGGGAACCTCAGTGTTGGTGATAAAAGTCCCAAATCTACGTCACCACTACCACCTCGCTCACCAGTTCTCAGCCCCAACAAGACCACTTCCATATCACCAACTGTTGAGAAGAAGAGCGAGATGGGGATTGCCAACAAGGACTGTAGGAAGTCCGTCTTGAACATGGACATCAGCCCCAATGACTCTGATGCAATGAGAAAGCAACAAGAAGAGAAGAGAGAGGAACTGAGGAGACTGAGAAGACAAAGAGGAAATGATGATGATAAAGGAAGTCAGAGGCCGCCGACGGGAAGCATCAGGACCAGACCAGGACCCAAGGTTGAGGAGGCTGGTCGACAGCGATCAAGAGGGTCAGGATCAGACCTGTCTAAGACGTCGTCACAGACAAAGGTTGTGGAGGAGGAGGAGGAGGAATCAAGTAGTGAGGAGGAAGACAAACAAGACAAGCCTCCAGTAGCACCAGTGGAGAAGACATCGTCCAAGACGAAAGTGGTAGAGAGAAAACATTCCAAAGGGAAGGCAGACGCGATGCGGCGCAGTGGATCCATGCGTCGCTTCCGCCAGTCCTCCCAGACTAGCAAAACCTCCACGTCTGATTCATCCACGTCATCCAGTGATGAAGAAATTCCTGTCGTCACTGTCGTGCTCAAGTGCAGAAGACGACAGCTGTCACGAGATGATGCTCTCGGCTCATCTGGGGATAACCAGAGTCGGCCGTCATCCCGCACATCCCCGCGGGTCGTCAAGAGAGGCTCCTCGGATAACATGGTAGACGGTAATCGCTCACGCAACAATTCTTCGTCCAATCTAGCAGGACGAAGGTCACGAAACAGCTCTCAGGTCATGGTGGAATCTGGCTCTCGTAATAGCTCGTCCTCAAACTTGGCCAGGTCCCGCTCGGGGAACAACTCCCGCTCTAGCATCGGTGAGGTTGAGAAGTCGAAAAGCAACTCACGATCCAGCATCCTCGGGGACAAGAAGCTGTCACTTGGTCCGGACATTGACATTGGTGAGAACAGACGTGGCTCCTCCAGCAAGATCCAGGTGTCCAGAAACAAGAGTAACCATAGCAGTAGTAATCTTTCCAAGACCAAGTCTGGTGACAGGCTGAGACAGTCTGGCAGCAATATACACAGAACCAAAGATAAAAAGACAGCTGAAAAATCCAGCTCCAGTGACTCTGAGTCTTCAGACACTTCCGACGACTCGAGTGAGAGCGCTGGTGAAGAGGGACAGTTCTTCTCTCTCACCAAGTCACGGTCAATGAAGAAGTCCAGATCTTCTTTAAAGTTCCCAGTAAGTGTTAGTGATGATAAGCCGAGGCTAGAAGAGCTTGGGGCCAGGACCAGCCCAGACGGGAAAGAGCATGTCTCCAGGACCAACTCTGATGCCAACATAAGGGTCACCTCACCATACGATAATGTAGAAGACAAAAATGAAGATGACGAAGACTTGCAGCCATTCTACTGGCCAGTTGACAGCTCTGCCTCGAAAGATGACCTCACAGTACTGTACAAAAAGTCCGAAAAGTTTGCAGCATCCAATAAATCCGTTTCAGAGATGGGCACTTTTGAGTGGTCCACTGACAGTCCACCACCTAACAGAGCCCATCTGCTCAACAGGTACGAGGATAACGACGCCACACACACCAGTGTCAGCAGAAGCAGCTCCAAGGGCAACATAAACAAGAGTAATTCACTTGAATGGCCTTCAGGCAGCCCAGAACTCTCGAACAAGAAAATGGATGAAACTGTAGCCTCTGTAAGTGACGAGGGCGCCTTCGAGTGGCCTTCTGGCAGCCCAGAGTTACACCTCGCGAAGAAAGCAGCTAAGGAAGAATTTGAAGGTTTCACTTGGCCCTCAGGAAGTCCCGAGTTACACCTCCACAGAAAAGCGCTCGAGGCAGAAAAGGAAGACGATCAAGATGAAGGAAATGCGTTCTTGTGGCCAGAAGGAAGCCCAGAGACGCCGAGACGAACAGTAGATCGGAACGCCTACGAGAGCGAGACAGAGACGGAACTACTGTGGTCAGATGAGAACGGTGACGCCTCCAGGTCACAGATGCCTCAAGTGGCCGAAGAAACGGAGGAGGAAGAGTACAACTTCGAGTGGCCGAGTAGTCCCGAGCTCTCCCGTAAGAAACCTGCCACCTACGGCTACTCGGACGCTTACGATACCCAGGCCGAGACAGAGGAGGGTTTCGACTGGCCCAGCAGCCCTGATATGCCGAGGATGAAGAATCCCAAGTTCATCAGCTTCACCGAGGACATTGACACCCTGTTGAGTAACGGCGTCGAAGACAACTTTGACGAGATGGAAAAGCTGATGGGGTACTCGCCGCCTCCTGTGAACGAAGTGGAAACTGAGGAGGAGAGAAAAACAGTCGGCGAGGACGTTAAGGAAAAGGGAAGTGAGAAGGAAGAGAAAGAGGTGGTTGAAGAGGAAGTAGAAGAAAATGCCCAACAAGAACCAGAGGAGGAGAAGAAAGAATCCCTGAAAATTCGAGCCAGAAGGAACTTGTCTCTCTTCATTGGTGAGTCACTTTGTTTCTTCTCCTGTAATAACCTGAGATGACATTTAATGCTGACTGAACTGACCTGGTATATGTCATTAAAACATACGGTACAGTAAGATAGACGAGAATTAACTGTGACACGTTTTAAAATTATGTCAAATTCTGCCATTATCATACACTATACATCATACACAACAGTCATACGCAACACACTATACATACCACACAACACACTATACATACTACACAACACACTATACATACTACACAACACACTATACATACTACACAACACACTATACATACTACACAACACACTATACATACTACACAACACACTATACTTACCACACAACACACTATACATACCACACAACACACAATGGACGTAACACACATTATTCATACTGGGATTGGTGCATGTCAAATGTCAATTATTACACGCACACACACACACACACACACCTTTCCATGTTTATTTTTGACTTGTCAGGACTTAAATTGGTGAAATGTTAATAATAGTTTAAAGTAAAATGCTATAGATAGATAGATGGATAGATTAATTAATGGTGTCATAATTACTGGACAGAAGATAGTAAATTCTCCCTTATTTAATCTAACCTAACCTAACGTAACCTTTCCAACCCAAACTTAACCGGACTTAAGCTCATCTAAACTAACTTTATTATAACTAACCTAACTTAACCTAACCACACTGAGTCAGGAACATAGGCCAGGGTGTTAATGCAGTCTCTTAATTATGTTGGTATTGTCCTTTAATTAGTTAAAAGAAAGCGTGTCAAACAGGTAAGCTAGAGTCATGATGTAATTATGACACCATTTTAGAGATTAGAATAGTAATATTTCAGCTAAATTCAGTCAGTCACTCATAGGTGTCCATTTTTTACCTTAAGATAATAATTGAACTTGGGAACCTTTAAGAATCCCGTCTCGTTCCGTGTTACAGGAAAACTGACCAACATCGACGATATCCTAGGCACGGTACTCCAGCCTCTCACCTCCCCGGCTCCCGCCACCACCAGGCAGACGTCTGTGCCCAAATCAGAGGAAGATGGTGAGTTTGGGCTGACATTATTATTATCTGTTTTTTGAGGGGTTTATGCTTCCAAGAATTTGTAATGGATGTGTGTGTGTGTGTTGTACAATATAGTAGAAGATATACTCTCACTTGATACAACTCTCAATAACATATAAAAGTCTGTCTGTTGAAACACTTCCCAAGAAAGATTTCAACAATTTTGACTTCGATAATTCCGGGCAAAATTTTAAGAGGTTTATTTGTCATATTTACAATGGTTTGTTTTATATTAGAAGTTATAGCAAAGTTACAAACGTTTTATTCAGCTGTTTTATAATTGTAATGAGAGTTAAGGGATAATAACAACTGGTTCATATTATTAATACATTTCGGTTGATGTCTTTTAATATTTTTAATGATGGATAATGTAAAATGATTTGTTGTTTATTTTAGAGAAGTTTCATATATAAACCAGTTATTTTGAAGAGTTTGTTTATTGCATGTATTGTATATTATTGCCTATGTAAGGTAGCGCCTCACTTCAGTAGAGAGTGAGAGACAGGAAGTAAGGTGTTGTATACGAGTAATGTTGGTTTAATTGTGGTAATAGGTCGCTCTCGCCGGAAAGTTGTGGTTGTTCCCGCCAAGGAAAAGTTGCGTAAGTAGAGCGTCGCTCCTGTGCTGCCTCCTGCCTGCGTGGGTCGGGAGTCTTGCCTCTTGTTTACAGTCATGAGCTGAAACCACACACACTACTGTACAGACTTTCTTAACTTTCAGTGACATTTTTTTTATGGTGTACAGTCAGTGTCTTAATGTATGTGACATGTTCCTGAAAATCTGTACGTAAACAGGATGTACAGTCACTCAAAAAACTATCTACTTAGGGGGGTCGATGAATTTCAGAATGAACATTGCGACTCCTGTTGTCTCGGTAGGGTTGTCAAAGTACTTCGTCCGTTGTGTCATATTTTTCAACATAATTTTGTATAGATAATTTTTTGAGTGACTATTCGTTAACTGAATGTACGTTAAGTGGACACTGACTGTACATGGAACATTCAGTGCTGTGTTGAGGTGCCAGAGATGTGCATTTATAATTAAAGTTGATAATAGTGATAATTTGTAGACATGTTAGACCGCAGTGTAGGGGCCACTGGAGAGGCGTCTAGTGTACAGTATTAACGAAATGTATCTTAGTCTATAGTTACTTCATGGAGACTATCAATAATATCACCGTAAAAAAAGAGAGAATTAAATTGACCTTTAAGAAATTATATATAAATTCATGTTATTTAAGAATCTTTATTTTGTTATCACTATAGTCACGGTATCACCTTTTATGGTTTACAAAACGAGAATTATATTTGTTTAAAATTTAGGGGAAAAGTGAGTCATTATGTTGACTAAATTATTGAGGATAACTTTATGGTTGTCAGCTCTGGTGCCTCGTATGATTGTACAGTACAGTAGTTGTTAATGATAACCAAGAAAATTACATCAACAATGAACGTAACAAACATGGCCGACTCCCAACCCTCGTAGTATGGGTTTTGACGACAAACTTACGCTATACAAACCCAGTTATCATCTTCACAGCTAAAATAATACTCTCGGCCAAGTTTTGCCGTAATGGTCGCTAATATATGACTACAGCAGCCAGAGACGTGAGGCTACGACCGGTAACGGCAGAGTTACTACTGTACATCCGCTGTTATGACTAAACAGTTTTTTGAGGCGATTTACTTTGATTATTTGTATACTTCTAATATTACCACCTACACTTATGTCTGATATTTTGTGTAGCGAAGAGGTGTGGTCGCCTTAAAGCTCTTACTCTGACGACAGTTCCAATGGCTTCATCTTACACCAATAGAAATCCTTAAATTTTAGAATATCATCATTATCTACCAATGGCAAAGGTTGTGAATCTTGACGTCAATTATAGCTAATAAGACTAATACTTCAGCTGTGGTATGACGTCATCATCAGCCAGTAACAAAGCTCATACTAATTGTCATATTTACCATGAGAGTCATCTGGTGACCACTCATTATCCAGAATAAACCATAATAACCATATGATTGGTCCCTCGTAAGTGAAGCCTTAAGAATGTATCTGACTTGTTGATTCGAGCAGTCAGCGAAAATTATACTAATTCTAGCTTATTTTTCGTTTAAGCTTCACTCAACTGTCAGGAGTATTATCTTACCTTACGAGGACTATTTACGATACGAACCTTTATGAATCGTAGTTAAGGCGGCTCGTATCTTCAGCTACACCAAATACAGTACATGTTATAACGTGTAGGTCTTCAAGGTGTTCACGCCGAGGTTAATGTTACTGATAAACCTCGTCACGCTCTCTCTCTCTCTCTCTCTGAGGGTTGAGAACTGAATTATTGTTGAAAAATCTAACCTCACCCCACCCCACCCCACCCCACCCCCTCATCTCACCGGACCCAACCTCACTCAACTTACCCCACCCCACTCCGCCTCACGTCACCTCACCTCACCCACTCCACCCCACCCCTCCCCACCCCACCCCACTCCCACCCCACCCCCACCCCACCCCACCCTCCACCCCCACCCCACCCCAAGCGAGAGACAATGTGACGAGGCGTGTGGTTATTAGCCCTTGTATTGTTGTTTAATAAAACTTAATACAACTGACTAACTGATGTATAAAATGTATTAATAAATACTACTTTTAAGAGAAACAATTACGCCGATTTATTTATGTTTACTTTAGTTTTACATAAATGATTTATTATTATTATTGTTTTATGTAATTGATTTATTTTAGTTTTTCCTCAAATTCTTATTAATTGGTTTATTTTCATTATTTTTCCCTTTAAGTCTTATATAATTGGTTTATTTTTATGATTATTCTTATTCATTTTGTCGACTAAGAATTATTGTTGTGTCATCTTTATTATGTCGTCGTTTTATTAATTGTACAGGAAATTGTTAACGTTTAATTCACTTATCATTTAACCATCTTAACGTGCCAATTTTTATAGCATGTATTTTACTTAAGTTGAAATAATGTGGGTTTTTTCTCAGTGTCTTAATTTTCTTCTTTCTTCTTCGTCTTCTTCATTATCATATTTTTCTTCTTTATTTGTTGTCGTCTCCCCCCCTTCATCTCTTTCTTCAGTCGTTTCACAGCCCACTTTCTCCTGTATTTCATATTATTTGTTTGCCATTATCTGTCTGCCATTAACTGTCTGCCAATATCTAAATGCCATCATGTATCTCCCACCTACTGTCTGCCAACATCTGTCGGTCAACATCTGTCTGCCATCACCTCCCGTCCACTAGACAGTAGCCTCTCTCCACCGTCCACTAGACAGTAACAGCCTCCTCCCCACCGTCCACTAGACAGTAACAGCCTCTCCTCCATCCACAGACAGTAACAGCCTCTCCTCCACCGTCCACTGACAATACAGCCTCTCCTCCCACCGTCCACTAGACAGTAACAGCCTCTCCTCCCACCGTCCACTAAACAGTAACAGCCTCTCCTCCCACCGTCCACTAGACAGTAACAGCCTCTCCTCCACGTCCACGAGACAGTAACAGCCCCTCTCCCACCGTCCACTAGACAGTAACAGCCTCTCCTCCCACCGCCAGACTCCATCCTGGAGGAGGTGGCGGCCAGTGATGTGAAGGTACACGACGCCCAGGCCAACCGTGCCCGTATAGACGAGAACCTGGAGGTGACGACGCCCTCCCGTGGTCGTCAGGTGAGTCCCTGGCTCCTGTAGGTGTCCTCGTTACCTGTGTGTTGTCAAGGTGAGTCTTCTGTAAGTGTGTCATGTACAGGTGTGTCTCTTGTAAGTGTGTCATGTACAGGTGTGTGTTCTGTCGTGTGTCATTACAGGTTGTCTTTTGTGTTGTGACAGGTGTGTCATGTACAGGTGTTTCTCTTGTAAGTGTGTTATGTACAGGTGTGTCTCTGTAAGTGTCTGTACAGGTATGTCTTCTGAGAGTGTCAGATAAGGTGCGTCTTAGATGTGTCCGGTATGGGTGTGTGTCCTGTAAGTGTGTCAGATACAGGTGTGTGTCATGTAAAATGGTCAGGTACAGGTGTGTGTCCTGTAAGTGTCAGGTGCAGGTATGTCCTGTAAGTGTGTCAGGTACAGGTGTTTCGTGTAATAATCAGGTACAGGTATATTTCATGTACGTGTGTCAGGTACAGGTGTGTTTCCTGTATGTGTGTCAGGTCAAGTGTGTTTCCTGTACGTTTGTTAGGTTCAAGTGTGTTTCCGTACGTGTGTCATGTTCAGGTGTGTTTCCTGTATGTGTGTGGTACAGGTGTGTTTCCTGTACGTGTGTCAAGGTACAGGTGTGTTTCTGTACGTGTGTCAGGTACAGGTGTGTTTCCTATACGTGTGTCAGGTACAGGGTGTGTTTCCCTGTACGTGCTTGGGTTGGAGTGTCATGTTAATATAAATCTAACATTAAGTACTTAAAATAACAAACTACTCCCAATGATAAGAAATATATATGAAGTTTTTTATCTCAGTGGAAAGTGTAAATGTAAATTGTAAAACACCTCTGTGAAAAGACCTGTAGCGGGACATTAAGATAGAATAAAATTATAAGTAAAAGTTGCTTATATAAATTTGTAAACAGAGAGGGTGTTGTTGGCTGAGTCTCAGGTGTCACAAGGGTTAATGACACAGGAGGGAAGGTAGTGGTGCCAAAGATAGAAGGGGTAGTGGTGGTTCATAGATGGAGGGAGGTAGTGGTGTCGATGGAAGGTGGTGGTGTCATAGATGGGGGAAGGTAGTGGTGTCATAGATGGAGGTGGTAGTGGTGTCATAGATGGGAAGGTAGTGGTGTCATAGATGGGAAGGTAGTGGTGTCATAGATGGGGGGAAGATGGTGGTGTCATAGATGGAGGGAAGTAGTGGTGGCATAGATGGAGGTAGTGGTGTCATAGATGGAGGGAAGGTAGTGGTGTCATAGATGGGGGAAGGTAGTGGTGTCATAGATGGGGGGAAGGTAGTGGTGTCATAACGGTGTAAAGTGTCAGCTAACAAGAGGTGTTTGTGTCCCCCTACAGGCAGAAGCAGAAGAGGGAGGCGCTGAGGGCGGACATCATCAGCGCCGTTAAGGCAGGAGTGAGTACCCCCTCCTGTTGTGGTGGTGGTTTCTGTTAATGGCCACCAACTGTTCCTGTTGCTCTGTTTATATGTGTTTCTCTTTATATTTTGTGCAGTAATTGTGGTTTTCTCTCTATGGTATGAAGATATGAGTGTGTCTGTCTGTCGTTTTTGCCTGTTCCCATATCTTTGCTTCCTTCTGTCCTTTGTTAGTGTGTTTCATCTATTTTATTAAGGAAACACGTATACATTATGTGGACTAATGAAGATGTGCCTTAGTCCACGCCCGCAACAATGGAGGTAAGTGAGAATTATATTGTGATGTATACTATTTTCTTTTCGTCTGGATGTCCAATATGGCCGCCAAAACAATGTTGTACTTTAGTAGAGGAAAATTTTTTTGAGTAAACATCGTCGTCTTTCTTCGAATTGTTTGTTTTTAATGAGTAGTAATGACGTAAGTGATGCCTGCCAGGGTCTTTAAGCATCACTCACTAAAGGAAAACGTTCTGAATGTTTAATGAGTAAATCTTGGTTGTATTTAATTGCTTCAAACTACCATACGCACAGTTAGGACTTGACGGTCATAATAATGGGTTATGAGAGGTTAAGGGAAGCTCCTGGGTATGGTCAGGTAGTGGTGGGTATGGTCAGGTGGTGGTGGGTATGGTCAGGTGGTGGGAATTACTGGTTAATTTTATAGCACTAGTGTAGGTGTAGTATGGCGGGGTTTCTTCTTTTCTCTTAACACCTCCCCCACCACTCAGAACACCCCTCCCACCACTCAGAACATCCCTCCCCACCACTCAGAACATTCCTCCCCCACCACCAGAACATTCCTCCCCCACCACTCAGAACATTCCTCCCCACCACTCAGAACATCCCTTCCTCACCCTCAGAACATCCTCCCCCACCTCAGAACATCCTCCCCACCACTCAGAACATCCCCCCACCACTCAGAACATCCTTTCCCCACCACTCAGAACATCCCTCCCCACCACTCAGAACATTCCTCCCCCACCACTCAGAACATCCCTTCCTCACCACTCAGAACATCCCTCCCCACCACTCAGAACATCCCTCCCCACATTGACGTAAACCTACAATATTTCTAAGGCATAATTGTCTATCTCGTTCGTGACCGTTCACCTCAAACACGACTGCATACCTCTCTCTCTCCCCTCCCCCTCTCTTCCCTCTTCCTCTCTCTCTCTCTCTCTCTCTCTCTCGTCCTCTTCCTTCCCTTCACCCACACACCTTACCTCCCCCTCACCCTCAATCTCCTCCTCCACCTCCTCCTCCTCACCCCTCACCTCCTCCTCCCACCTCACCTCCTCCCTCCCACCCCTCACCTCCTCCTCCTCAACCTCACCCTCCTCCTCACCCTCAACCTCCTCACCTCCTCCTCCCCTCACCCTCACCTCCTCCTCCTCAACTTCACCTCCCTCCTCACCCTCAACCTCCTCCTCACCCCTCAACCTCCTCCTCACCTCCTCCCCTCACCCCTCAACTTCACCTCCTCCTCACCCTCCAACCTCCTCCTCACCCTCACCTCCTCCCTCACCCTCCAACCTCCCTCCCTCACCCTCAACCTCCTCCTCACCCCTCCACCCTCACCCTCAACCTCCCTCCTCACCCCTCCACCCTCCTCCTCAACCTCCTCCTCACCCTCTCCTCCTCCTCCTCCTCACCTCCCTCCCCTCCTCCCCCTCCCCACCTCCCCTCCTCCTCAACTTCACCTCCTCCTCACCCTCAACCTCCCTCACCTCCTCCTCCTCACCCCTCACCTCCTCACCCTCAACCTCCTCACCTCCTCCTCCTCACCCTCACCTCCTCCTCCTCCTTCCTCCTCCTCCTCCCCTCAACCTCCTCCTCACCCTCAACCTCCCCTCCTCCCACCTCCTCCTCACCCCTCCTTCACCTCCTCCTCACCTCAACCTCCTCCTCACCCCTCACCTCCTCCTCACCCCTCAACCTCCTCCCCTCACCCCTCACCCCTCCCCTCAACCTCCTCCTCCCCCTCACCCCTCCTCTCAACCTCCTCCTCACCCCTCCTCCCCTCACCCCTCCTCCTCCCCACCCCTCCACCTCCTCCTCACCCACCCTCACCTCAACCTCCTCCCTCCCACCCCTCACCCTCCTCTCAACCTCCTCCTCACCTCCTCCTCACCCTCAACCTCCTCCTCACCCTCACCCCTCCTCTCAACCTCCTCCTCACCCCCTCCTCCCCTTACCCTCACCTCCTCCTCCCCTCAACCTCCTCCTCACCTCCTCCTCCCCTCAACCTCCCTCCTCACCCTCACCCCTCTCCTCAACCTTCTCTCCCCTCCTCCTTACCCTCACCTCCTCCTCCCACCCCTCTCCCCTCCACCTCCCCCTCACCCTTTCCTCCCCCTCTCTTCAACACAGGTCAGGTCATATTTCAGGTACAGAACCAGAATCTCTTCTCTGTGGTGATGGGGAATGTTGAACCTGTTTCACTTGACTCTTCACACACCTGTCCCTCCACCTGAAGTTTAAACACCCTAACGCTACCTGGGGGGGGGGTTACTTTCGTTTAGTTTAGGTTAGGTTACGTTACGTTGGATTAGGTTACGTTACGTTGGTTGGTTAGGTTAGGTAAGGTTCGTTAGTTTGGGTTAGGTTAAGTTAGTTTACGTTAGGTTAGGTTAGGTTACGCTAGTTTATATTAGGTTATGTTATGTTATGTAAGGTTAGGTTAGGTTACTGTACGTTAGTTTAGGTTAGGTTACGTTTGATTAGATTAGTTAAGGTAGGTTAGGTTTGGTTATATTGTGTGAGGTTATGGTAGTTATACTAAAGTCCTCCCACAACTCGCTACACAGGGCCGGGAGAACCCTTGGGTACATTAGGTTAGCTTAGTTATATTATGTGAGGTTATGGTACATTAGTTTGGGTTAGGTTAGGTTAGGATAGTTAAGTGTCAGGGTAGATTAGGTTGGGTTAGGATAGTTAAGTGTCAGGGTAGGAGAGAAATTGTAAACAAATAGTGACCTCTCTCTCTCTCTCTCTTGTTTTTGCATGTAATATGTAGAATATAAATGAAAACAACTTGAATCTTGGAATGACTAGAAGAGAGAGAGAGTTCTTGTATACTGTATTAGGAAGTTTTGTGTGTGTGTGTGTGTGTGTGTGTGTGAATAACGTTTAGATAAATAACTGAAAGTAAATAAAATAATACAAGATAAAAGGCGGGGCAACAGTATTGTTTTCTATGGTGAGGGTCGCCTGACGTCACAAGACTATGACGCCCGTTGCTGAGTCGTCAGTAAACACACATGGTCGTCTTTATCTGAGACTGCTGCTACAATCTTGTCTGTGTGGGAACATTAAGGGTCTTCTTGCTGGTGTAATGATGGGAAACGTTTTCACTTGTGTTATGGAAGGTCGATGGTGTTTATGGGTGATGTTAGCTCGTAATGATCTTAGAAAATGTACTTTAGTTTCCCTTGGGTCGAAAATCCGTGTATAAAGTGTTACTCTAAGTGCCTGGTTTAACGTACTATTCGTTGAGTAATCGTTTAAAAGGGATTTCCTCTAGGCTAGTGAAACACTTGTTTTTAATTCGTGTAATTTACTGAGGCTGTTGTAAAACCCTTTCCCTGTGTCTTGAAGGCCCAAGTGCGCGGCGAGATGGGTGGGGTCAATGCCGGGGTGAGGGCGGGGTCAATGCCGGGGAGGGAGTGTGAGGAGGTTCAGTGTTGACTACTGGGTTGTTAGCATACAACAGTTGCCATCACAGCTCCCGTCTGGGAGGTCGCGCCAGATTTTCCAGCCAGTGTTGAGGTTTGGCGGGTCAAGTGCGCGGCCCCGTTTACGAAAATCATGGCGCATTTTTTTGTAGTTGCTGGCTGGGCTATGTTGTAGTTGATGTCGCGGGATGGATGTTGTGTGGGCGTTTGTTTTTGATATAATGGGTTTGAATGGTGATGTTGTTTACCATTATTGTGGCGACGATTACCTGCTGTGAAGATAACTTGTTATTGACACCGCCACATGACGTTATCTTCTGGCGGCATTGTCTCTATCGTTAGATATTTTTCCAGTGCTATTGTTTGTGTATTGTTCTTTAATGCAGTAATGTACTCAGCCATTTTTGTATGGTAAGAAGTATTTACCATTGACTTCAGAATATCTCATAATATCAAGTGCGCATGGCCTCAAAATGCTCACGATATTGGGTCAGGCTCATACAACTTCTTCGGACCCCCCTTTTTTATATTCCTGGATCCGCCCCTGGTAATTCATAGGAGTAAATATTAATATACATTTTAAAAATTAATTATTTGTGTTTATGTAAGTTAATCAAAGTCATCAGTGCCCCTTAATACTGTTGAAGACATCATACATCATTATATATATATATATATATACTCTCGTGTGTGTATATATATCAGTTTATAAGAAGGTCGTTCGAAGAAGGTGAAAAGCTTGATGTGAAAAGAATGTCAGATTTATGGTAATGGTTTGACCTTACGCTGCCCCCCTGCCCTTGTATCCTCCCTGACACTCTGATACTTCACTTTTTATCTCACACACACACACACACACACACACACACACACACACACACACACACACACACACAAAACCCTAAGTAGAACTTTGATCATTATATCCCCAGTATATATACCATATCATACAATACGTACTCTAAATATACTGTACACACACATATACCATTCTCTTATATGTTAATAATGCAGTCAGATGTGTGTGTGTGTGTGTGTGTGTGTGTGTGTGTGTGTGTGTGTGTGTGTGTGTGTGTGTGTGTGCGCGCGCGTTAAGCGTCACCTCTAGTACCTTTATCTTACTAGTGATAATGTGGTGTGATTAAGCGGCGGTATCCATTGAAAGAATTAATGTGTCACGAAATTAACCCTCAGCTGATTTCACCTGAGTTAACTATCCTAACCTAACCCATCCTAACCTAACCTAAACTAGAGCTAACCTAACCCATCCTAACCTAACCTAAACTAGAGCTAACCTTACCTAAC